CGCTTCCTTACCCGTAAGAGTGGCCACAACTCCGCCTAGCGCTAACCAAGGCAACATTTCGAATAGGGTCAGACTCCACCAGTACACGGCTGCCAGGCTTTCCAGGTAGAAGAGCGAGAGGAGCAGTGCGATGATGGAGAGGCTTGGTGCTTTGAAAGAGAGGGAAGGGAGCAGGATGGACAACTGTTCGAGTTCGCGTTGCGCAGCGCAAGCAACACGAGAGAGGAAACCAAAGAAGAATAAAAAAGAAAGCCAAAAAATTAGCAGTCGGGACCCGGTGCATGGCAGAAAAAAAACATCGCTCTTGATCATTGGTGGCCGAACTCACTAATCCCAGCAGTACTGTCCAAGGAACTATCAGAACCGCACCGGCCCAAATGGCGCTCAAAGATTTTGGAGGCATGGAGTCTGCCGCTGATTTGCCAAAGGTGTGGAAACGAGCAGGCCAAGGTTTGAAGCCTTGTTCCTGTTCGAGGCGAGCCCTTTGAGTCAACTGGGTGGAGGAGGAGGAGGGCTCTGGACCTGGGAGAAGCAGGTCTAGTAGGTGAAGGTTGAGAGGGTCGAAAGAAGGGTCGGCGCTGCCTACGAGGAGGGAGACGGTGATGCTTCGACCCAGATGAGACAATTTGTCGGGTTTCTGCGCGTGAAGAGAAGCCCTGATGTGAGTCTCGAGCCTGATACTCGCTGATGCGTGCAAGATTTCCACTTCCCAGAGCAAACGTCTAGTATAGAAGTTGCCGCTGACTGCGCACTCAAATCGAGATTGCTCACCAGAGAGTACACCGCTTTTCCTCGTTTGATCGCTACGGCATTTACGATGCTCTTTCGTTTATCGTCGTCCACCTTGACAGCTACTTGATCAGGTACAGCCACTTCTCCATTCGCATCCTTGACGGAAAAGGACAACCTCAGAATTTCATCTGCGGCCAAATTCTGTCTTTCGAGCTGAGGCGTCGAAGTGGCTGTAAAACTGATGACGTGAAGCGTATGGGGTTGATGAACAGAATTCAGACAAGAGTGTGGGGCTGCACAAACAGGAAGAAGCATAGAGCTGGTCAAGCTTGCACGCACCTTTCTGAAAGGCGCGTCGAGCCTCCGTCTAACGAGGTGATGCTCAGCTTGGCATCGCTGAGCGTGAAAGAAGCGCCGAGGACGCAAATTGGAGCTAGAGCTGCTAGAGCAGCCAGGGTGTGGAGCCGCAGTAAGCGCATAGTATCGCCCTTGATCCTCAAGATGGCTGGTCGGATCGCGCTGCGCGTACCGCTATCGGCCCTGTACACTGTCTTCCAATATCGGCACTCAGCACCTCAAGATTGAATGGATAGCCGGGTGCGAGATATTGCAATCACCTATGCAAGGCCTGAGGCTGAGCAAGCCCAGTTCTCGTAGTACGTCCAGGCTAGGCTCGCTTGGTGTCGCTTGCAGGAGTCTGAACTTAAGTCAGAGGGTCGTCGCACGAGCTGTTGTCCTGATACGGATGGCGAATGTGCAAGATTGGGTCACAGTGGGTGCCCGCAAGAAGTGCGACTCGTTGAGTGTCGAGTCAGAGTGGAGTCATGAGTCAAGTCCTGCGAAGGCAACATGGATGATGAGCCTTCCAAAATGCGGGCAGATGAGGCGCGTGCGCGATGCGTCGCATTCAAACTACCTTCCAGCGGGGCGCCCCCAGGGATTTATCGGCCGATGGGCATCACTGCACGTGACTCCTTTCGCATGCCGCTTCACTCGCCCGCCGGGCGCAAATGACCTCGATTACTGTATTTGATTCGCAGCTCGATGGCGTGAGCGATGTGAAAGCGCGCGTGAATAAGCCATCCCATGCAGTATACGGTACATGTACAGTATATGCAAGGTCGTGTATTGTGCAGATGGGCTGTGTTGCATTATCTGACACCAAAAAGGATGTCAGGAATCGAGAAATCAAGACGACGACTCGCTCGCCCTCTGATCTCGGAGCGATTCGAGATGGGTAGTGGTGAGTCTCGAGTGAATGCTTGTACCTCTGTTCGCCTTCCCGAGTCATCGCCAATCGTCAATCAAAATCGCGCGAGCCTTTGCCTTGTTGGTCCATCTTGCAAACAGGCATCCAAAGCGACAACCATTCACACATCCATCTGCAAGCGCTTCGCGAACATTCACAATCTACATGGCTCCCATCAAGACTTGTTTCTTCTTGAGCTGATCAACTCTCACTCGGCAAAGGGTAGGAAGCCAAGTCGATGAAGCGCCACGCGAGGTGTAGATGCAGCTTGCACCTTGCACCTTGCACGATCCCCACTCACCTCTTGAATCTGCCAATTCCCATCCCGCCCGGCTCGAAGTCCTTCATCCTGATTCTCCTAGAGAGCACCCACAAATTGTGCCTCAAGCGTTCCTCAAGGTATCATCTCTGCCACGATGTCCTTCGTAGCGCAGATCAGTGACACTCGGCACGTACGGCCCGTAGATGCTGGTGAGGCGAGCCAAACGAGCACTCTCAGCGCTGCGACTTTCATGAGCGCACTGTCCACCTTTGAGGATCAAGAGCAACATGCGGGCACAAGTAACCAGCAGGTGGAAGAGTGCGCCTTTGGAGATGAATCGGACGACGCTGAAAACGGCACGCATACACCCAGGGTATCTGTGCAACATGACGCACTCGTCC